TCCCAAATTGATGGGCATCTCCCCAATTTCCAGTTCTTTGCCACCACAAAAAGCTGCTATAAATATTTTTGTACATATTGGTCTTTTTTCCTTTTCTTTTATCTCTTTAGGATACAGTAGTGTATTGCTGAGTCAAAGGGTAGGTATAGTTTTATAACCCTTTGGATATAGTTCCACATTATCTCCAGAATGGTTAGATGAGCCCACTACTCCACCAATAGTGCATTAGTGTACCTATTTTTCCATATCCCTTCCAGCATTTGTCATTTTCCTTTTCTGCCATGTTAGCTCCTCAGAGTTTTTTTTTAAATGTGCATTTCTGTAATTACTCATGATTTAGAGCATTTTTTCATATGACTATTATAGCTTCTCATATCCTTTGACTATTTACTAATTGGGGAATGGCTCTTATTTTTAAAAATTTAGATCAGTTCTCTATGTATTTGAGAAATGAGGCTTTTATTAGAGAAAGAGAAACCTGCTGCATTTTAAAAAAATTTCTTTCTTTCCTTGTAATTTTGTCCACATTGGTTTTGTTTGTGCCAAAACTTTTTAATTTCATGTAATAAAAATTATCCATTTTACTTCCCTGATCCTTTTTATTTCTTATTTGGTTCTCTTATTCTTATTCTTATCCTCTTATGTTTTCCATAGATCTGTCAGGTAAATTTTTCCATGCTCCCGTAATTTACTTATGATATCATGTATCTAAATCATGTGGACATCCTTACTTCACCCCTGATCTTATTGGGAAGGCTTTTAGTTTATTTACATTTCAGATAATGCTTGCTCTTGGTTTTAAATGGATATTACTTATCATTTTAAGAAAGGCTCCATTTAGCCCTTTCCTTTCTAGTGTTATTAATAGGAATGGTTGTTGTTTTTTGTTAAAAGCTTTTTCTGTATCTATTGATATAATCATGATTTTTGTTGTTTTTGTTGTTAATATAGTTGATTATGCTTATGGTTTATACAATACTGAACTAGTCCTGCATTCCTGGTTTAAATCTCACCTAGTATATGATCTTTGTGATATATTGCTTTATTTGCCTTGCTATTCCTGTGTTTTAATATGGTTGTTTTAAATTAAAAAAAATTTTTTTTAAGGTTGGGTCTCCTTATCTTGCCCTGGCTAAAAAGTACAAGGACCACTCATAGATATGATCCCACTTTGACTGGCACGAGAACTTTGAGCTGCTCTGTTTCTGACTGGGGCTGGTTTGTCCCTTCTTAGGCAAACTGGTGGCCTCTGATCTTGAGGACTAGATACATTAAAGGATCACTGAAGGTCAGAACTCCTGAGGTCGAGATCCACAAACCTTAGCCTTCCCAGTATATGGGATTGAAGACATGTAGTACCACACGAGGCACGTTAAAATTGTTGTTTATTTGTTTGTTTTTTGTTTTTAACAGAAATTGCTGCCAAATCTTGTTGAAAGCTTATTCTATATCTATTGGCATGATCTTGATTTGAGAAAAGATCAACTCACTGAAGCAAGAAGGAATAAAGTGTCGAGAGAAGAGCTCCTCTGAATGACTTAGATCATGGGGCAGGGTCAAGCGAGTATAGAATGTCACGGGTGGCTGTTTGACTGGAATGGAGAGTATGAAACAAGTTGTGATTATTAATAAGGGAAGTCTGCTAAGAAAGGGAGAATTGGAGCAGGTCCCAACTGTACTTTTAACATAATAACAACAAAGCTAGCAATTATATAGCATTTTAAGGTTTGCAGAGCACTTGTACATATGGTATCTCATTTGATTCTCTTAACAACTGTGGGAGGTAGGAACAATTATTATCCCCATTTTACAGGTGAAGAAACCGATCTCAAAAGAAGTTAAGTGACTTGTCTGGGGTCATACAGCAAGTGGGTGTCCTAGGGAGGATTTAAACTCAAGTCTTCCTGACTCTAGGTCCCAACCAGGAGCCATTGCAAAGTTCTGATAAGGAGAATCATACGTCCAAAATTACATTTAACTAAGATAATCCCTGTGGTCTTGAGTAGGTCAGACTGCAGAAGAAGTTAAAGAGGGTAGTAAGGCTTTTGCAATGGCCCAGCTAGGCATTTGTTGGCCACCAGTCAATAACATTTATTGAGTGTTCACCACATGCAGAGTACTATAACTAGGTATTATGGGAACAAAAGGCAAAAATCGACCCTACTGACATCCTGGAGTTTACAATGTGAAGTCCCTGGTCTAGGGCCCTGGATGTGGGAATGATGAGCGTCACATTTAAAGAAATGGCACAAAATTTTTAGAATTCTAGTAACAGAGTGATTGTGTGGCATAGGGAGAGAATTACTGAAGGAGGTAGCAAGTTTTTTTGCACATAGGGAGACAGAGGCAAAATGCTGTAGACAGGAAGGAGGCTTAAAAATAGAGATGGGTTAAACAGGAGAATATGGGTTTGTTCCTTAAATGTAGTTTTAGATGGTAACAGCCTAGAGATACATTGCAGACAGAGAAGATGGAATATAGTGCTGGAGAGATATTGTCAAGGATTATTGTGAGAATCATTCACCTATAAGAGGTAACTGAAACCGAGCATGCAGTTGAGCTCTCTGGAATGGGTGGTGTGGGATAGAAGCATTGAAATTCCTGATATTGGGACAATTAGTGGTAATGGGGAAGAAAGGAAGAGAACAGACCCAGATCTTTGTGGTCAGAGAAGTGGTGGAAAATAATACATTTTAGCCAATCTGGTAAGTGTAAAATGATATCTCAAGGTTGTTTTAATCTGCATTTCTCTAATCAATAATAATTTAGAATGTTTTTATATGACTATAAATTGTTTTGATTCCTTCATTGGAAAACTGCCTATTAATATCCTTGCATGTACATTCATCTTTTGTATTCTGAAAATGCTTGTTTTATTCCATAAGTTAGAAATAAAATAAAAATGAAAATTATAATAATTCCAATACTGAGACTAGAAGGAGTTTTAAGGAAGAGAGGATGTTCAGTCTTGTCAGAAGCAATGGACAGATCCTGGTATATTCAATCTTGTCAGAAGGAGGTCACTGCAGACCTCAGCAAGAGAAGTTTCTGTTGGATTCTAGTTGTGAAGCCAGACTTATTTTGGTTGAAATGCACGGGCCTGTGTGGGTTCATGAGGGCAAGAAGGGGAGTTTTTCAGAAGAAAATTACAATGTGGCTGGGCTTCCCTCTAAGAAACCCCAATATACAAAAACCTCGGTTTACAAAACAACTCAATGAGGTGCTAGTATGAACATTTTAAAAAGGTTTTCTTTTACCTTAGCAAACAATTCATAAAAATTTGACTTACCAGATTTGGTTCATACACAGGATGAAGTTGCTTCTACAGAACAAGGTGTATCAAGACAAGATAGTCTTGGACTAGATCTATGATTTTATTGTTATAAGGCACTCTCGATAAGGAAACTCCCTCCAGTGATGTTGACTGGCAACTGCTCTACTAATTATATAGTCTTAAAGAGTTGTTAAGGGCGCTGAGGGATTAAATGGCTTGTCCAAAGACAGAAATGGGACTTGAGCTCAGAGCTCTTCCTTCAATTCGCTAAACCGCCATAGGGTATCTTTCATATTGTACCGAATGAGCCAAAATCCAGAGAGGTAGTGAGTATCCTATCCTGACTCTGCAGTAATTATCTTCCATAATATTATTTGGAATGTTTTTCTATGTGGGATTCCTGCCTACCAGCTCTCTTATCGAAGGCTTTGTCCTGATTGTTTCTTTTTAACTGATATAACCATTCTTCTCTGATATACATTCTCCAGCGCCCCCACTTGGAGTTCACAGGTCTCTAGCTGATTTGTGGCAGCTCTGAACAGGCTGCTGTTGGAGACTCCATATAGGAGGGGTGTTCTTCCAGCTGCCTGATCCAAGCTTCCAGTTTTCAAAGGGAAGTGGGGGGGGTGGAGAGAGGAAAGAAGGGAATGCAGGAATGATATCCAGCTGGCTGTTGACTTCCCAGACTTCCTCACCAACGCAGTACTCGCTCAGCTCTTGGTTTTGACCTGACAGTATTTCATTGCTTTCATCATTGAAGGAAGGAGTATTTCAAAGTCATTTCAAACAAGGATCTGAATTCAAATAACTCAAAGTCTAAATTCAGAGGGGCCTCGGAGAAACATCATCTCCTCTCCACACTCCCCCGTCCTTGTCAGTGAGCTGACAGGTTCAATACAGTACAGCTCAGTCTTAAGACTGTAATATTATGCTCGAGACCCTTATACAACACTCAATAAATCTGCTGGAACTAAATAAATAATGAATTTATTTAAGTCCATGTACAAATGAAATCCAATACAGCTATTACAAAGCATTTTTTTTTTTTGCAAAAAAATATCCATACAGTGATGTGAGCTACTTTGTTACACTAGGATTTTATTGGAAGAATACTGTCCAAAACACTTAGTGGCACACACGCATTCACAGAGATTCCATGCAAACGGAATGTGAAAAAGGGCACCTCTGGCCCCCTGTAGTCTCTCTCCTCCTGCATAGTGGCTTTTTGCCTTGACACATTTAGAGAGCTAAGAAAAAAGGACGTTTGGGGATTGAATGAGCCAGATAATTCCCTCAGTTCTCCACTTCCCTTTCTGTGTGAGTCAATTATGGCCTCAGATTGTGGGAGGGGAAACCAATTACTTTTCATATTGGACACAATTGTAAAAACCTATTAAATGGGAGCAGAAGAGGAATAAGTGCCTAGAAGAAAGAAGGGACTTACTTTGCTCCAACAACCAAACTTATATTTACAAAAAGCCCAAATTCTCATTTACAACTTGGTCTCTATAACTTGAGGCAATGGTATAGAACTTGTTCCCTCTATCATTAATCTACTTTAGAATTCAGTTTTTCTTTGAGAGCAGCATAATGGAAAAGATATATCTTTATCCATAAATATGGAGTCATGTGTGTATGTATATATATATTAATTTTCTTTTTTATATAAATGTATATATACAGATAGATATGCTCTCTATATAGCAAGTGCATATATACTGTGTGCATATCTATATATCTATAATCATACATTGACATAGATATATATGGACTGTATATATGAGGAAAAGCTTGCTTTTAAAGTAGTGTATAATATTATAAAGACACATACTTTATTATGACATTTGAAAAAATCCAATGTAATGTTGCTTATTGTTATACCAGTACAATGTTAAGAAAGCAAATACATTGTCAGATATACAAATTCACAAATTACAAAAAAAACAAACAAACCCAAACAACACATCTCTTACCTTTCCACTAGTGTATCTCCTGCACTTCCCCACCCTAACCAGAACCACGAGTCTCAATTGCTTACCTTATACTACAGAACACTAAAATTCATTCAAGGTACTACCCAACTCTTGGGGAATGCATCCCAAATGTTTAGTCCTTTTTCTAATTGAAAAAGGTGACCTAATGTTAAGAAGATAGCTTTGGTGGGGATATGGGAGTTAAAAGTGTCCATTTTCTCAACTCAGAGGGCAGTTGTGCCATAGTTACAATAATACTTCCAATTAATATCATGCCATTCCCTACTCTTCACATGACCGATTCACAATAAAACCCATACACTCTCCTTCCGCTGTGGGAGATGCCCATTTTAGAGGTCAGGAAACTGAGGCACAAAGAAATGGAGCTCAAGGTCCTAGAACCAGGACCAGAATCCTGCCTTCAATCCACTGATCCTACCTCCTTCTGCTCCCTTCCACCTCCAATACTACCCACTTTTCCACTATGATTCCACTTAGTTGTTGGCTGTACCCCAAGTGAAGAGGATTCCTTTTCCTTAGTTTACTCGAGGGGTATCATTGCTTTAGTGAAATGGTAGCAATCAACCATGTTTACCTTTCTCCACTCTTTCCTTTTTCCCTTGGATCTAACATTCCTTTGAGTAGAGTTAGGAAGTTGGAAGGGACTTAAAAGATAACTTAGAATAACCTCTTTACAGATGAGGAAACTGAGGTCCAGAGGGGTCACGATTTGACCACGATAACACCACCAGCCTGTGGCTAGAGCCAGCATTAGAACTGAGGTCCCATCAATGTCTCTCTAGTTCACTGCTCTTTCCACTGGGTCACGTGACTCACATCTGGGTCTCAGGCAGGAAGTCACCTAAGTTTCCTTTCCCAGAAACAGCAACAACACTCAGACCAATAGCAAACACTCAGCACCATGCTACTTACTGCCTTTCCCTCACTATGGTCAGTGCTTCACACCACATATAAAAAGGAACCACCCCCAATTCTGCAGACCATGAAAATGCTGTTAGTCAAACCGCCATCATGATCTAATAACAAATAAATTATTTTAAAGGTTACAATGCATTACATTCACTCTGGACATACACGACCTATGCTCAAAGGTTAGCTACCAATCATCTGACAACTTTCCAGAAAATGGTTGGAAGCACCAATAGAAATAACCAACAAAGTTGTGAGAAAAATATCTTAAGATCATCTGAGTAGAGGTTATTATTAATATTTTTTTTTTACCAAAAAGAAGGCCTCATCTTGGAATTATAAACATAAGCTGATATAAATTTATCTTTCTACAAATATATATATGGTTTTTATGGAGTACATAAAACAGCATTCTAACTGAGAGGTGGCAGTGGCCTCAAAAGCGTTCATTAAGAACATTATGAGACTACAGTATTTTTTTTAAAAGACCTCTCTGTAGAGCATCATGGCACAACTTTGGAGCTGCACCCACACCTGAGAACTAGAGCTAAATATTTAATAGAAAAGAAAATAATATTCTTTATGCAAATCTGTAAGGTGGGGTTTTTTTTAAGTGAAAAGCAATTATAAATTCAGCAATTTCTTTTGCATGGATATGCCAACACTTCATTTCAGAAGAAAAGATGACCCCAAATGCTATAATTAGTAAACAGATGAATACACTCTCCCCTTTCCCTTCTGACCCAGTCCCTGCTGCCCCCTTCCCTTTCTCCAGTCCTAAACTCCATTGTTGGAGACACAGTTCACTGGGATTGCCTCCTGACTGAAGGTCAGCTCCTCCCTCAGGACTGGTGATAGTGATGATAGTGGTGATGGTGGTGATGTTCGTGGTGGTGGTGATGCTCATGTCTCTGAATGACCGGAATGACGTAGCCCTCGTTGGTTAAGACAGGGGGTAAATCCCGGATCACCTCATGCTCCAAGACAGCGGGCTGGGAGTGAGTGGCTTTCAGTGGGGAGTGAGCATCCTTGGCCTTCTGCCGGTACTTCTTGTGAGGGTGCGGCTGTTGCTGGAGATGGTACACATCCTGAGCTGCTGGGGAGGGTGTGGCTGGCAGGTAGTAGTTAAATGCTTTCCCTGGCTTCCCACTCCCGTTGCCACCTGTCATGGCTGGCATTTTGCCAGAACCCTTGGGCGATTTCAGGAACTGCTTCTCTTGGCCTTTTAACCTTTGTTGCATCTCCAAGACCCTCGGGCTGGGTTCAGCGGCCGGGATAGAATAATCAGCGAGCACCTGCGACCTCCGGTGATGCACCATGTGGGCCTCGGACTCCTGGGAACGTGACCTGTTTTGGGAATGGGAGGGTTTGCCGTGGTGTTCTTGTTTGGGTTGTGCTGGAGGGGAACCTGCAAATAGAAGGGGAGAGAGGGTTAGGGCCTTTCTCCTAAGCCCCCTCTATGTGGGACTATGAATATGCATATAGCCAGTGCTGAGCACAGTGCTTGGCACATAGTAGGTGCTTAATAAATGTTTATTGATTGATGTACTCTTTGTCATCTTGTATACTTTAAATGCATTTATATATTTCAAGCTGAAGAGCCCTCAGAGCCCACCTAATCCAAATATCTCATTTTTTAGGCAACTAGGAGGCACAGTGGATAGAGCACTGGACCTGGAGTCAGGAAGGCCCAAGTTCAAATCCTGCCTTAGAAATTATTAACTATGTGACTTAACCTGTTTGCATCAGTGTCCCCATCTGTAAAATGGGGACAATAATAGCACCACCTCCTAGGATTAGGATACTGGTTACAGATAAAATAATATTTGAAAAGTGCTTTGTAAACCTTAAGGTACTGTATAAATGCTAGCTATTATTATTCAGATTAGGAAACTGAGGCCCAGGGATATTTAATGCTTTTCGTAGGTTCTCTGACTCCAAATGCAGCATTCCCCTGCACCATGACACTGTATCAAAGGTAGATTTTGAAAAGCCTGGAATTGACTCCTTACATACATAAACTGTGGAAGTACTTAAGAAAAATTGCTTTGAAAATGGTTTTGAGTATCTGTGTCTGCCATTAGAGGTCTTAAATACAGATTCTGTCTTGAGTAATACAGGAAAGAATCCTTTCAAGCTAGACAATTCAATATTAGGCATAAGTTTATCCATTTTTAAGAATTGCCTTCAAACGTCCTTATTTTTTTTTGTCTGAACCTGTGAACTCATCAGTATAGAAAACTCTTGGTGAAGAATTCCCCTCCATCAATGCAGATCAGCAACTACTCTACAATTTATAGCCTTAGAAAGTTTCCTGACAGTAATAAAAGGTTAAGTGACTGACCCAGGGTCACCCAGACAGTGGTATCAGAGATGGGTCTTGAATCTAGGGCATCCTGACTCTCAGGTTGTTCCTCTACTTTCTATGCTGCCTCTTGAATGTCCTTCAAACATCTTAAATAAAAGTCAATTTAAAATGATTTGGTACAATTTTACAAAGCAAGTATCATTCCTTTCTAAAGTGTTCATTTGGTGTTTTCCCCTCTCTATGAACAAGCCCCACTGTTGATGGAAGAGGTATCTGGTAGGAAATACCCCTTAAGTAATGCATTCATCTGACCTATTGTTAGAAAAACAGGATAGATCAGTTAAACTGCTGGTACTTCCCGAAGAGGGGAAAAAACTTTCAAGTTCAGTTTGGATTTAGAAGTCATTAGGTGTTTTTGGATGTTATGCCTCAATGTTTTGCTAATCCCCTGGGTCAGGATATTTCAAGAACATTCTATAATAGTGTTTCCACTCCATGCTATTTAGGTTAAAACAGTCCGCCTCTGCTTTTTCCCTTTTGCTTTTCTTAGGTCTTTAGAGACTAACAAAATGTAGCAGAAAAGACTGGGAAGAGGCCATTAAGAACAAAGCAAGAAGCCTTTTGCTAGAAGCTCCCTTTCAACATGTTAGAATAGAACACATTGGTTCAAGGAACAGGTCATGATGAAAATGTTTTGTAACCCAGTGTCAGGTTGTGTATTAACAAATGACCACCCACATCTGTGTTAGTTATTTCCTACCCTAAATGTTCACTTGAATTATATGATAATAATGATACATGGCATTTATAGAGCATTCATTATTATCCCCACTTTACAGATTAAGCAACTGAGGCCGAGGGGGGTTCAGTGGGGCCCCACAACTAGTATCTAAAATAGGATTTGAACACAGCAAGATTTAAACATAGGTCTTCCTGATGCCAAGTATAGCAGGCTATCTGCCATCCACATAGCAGCCTATGCTGCAGCTATGTATACAGGGCCCAAATAAATAACAGAATCCTCTACTTCTCCCTAAAGGAAGGGCGAAGCAGTACAATATCTTTATCAATGGGAGCATATTGACTGGTGCTTAGTCACCCATCACTATAGATGATCTTTACAATGGCTGATTGACTATTTTTCAGGCCTGATGTATAGGGGATTTGTTCAGGTACTAGGTGTATTAGATGCCTGTGAGGTCCCTTTTAGACTCTGAGTTTCTGTGATAATTTGTTGATATGAAAATCTGGGAGAATCTAGAAATTCCATGGGATCTTTCCTTCTACCTATTTGATAATATTATTATTTGACAAATAAGCAACAGATTGCCTTATAAGCTGAGATGGAAAGATGCTATTGGCCTTTTCCCACAGGGTACCCCATGGAGAAACATCCTGCTACACTGAGAGTTGTTGGTATATGAACATATGCTTTATCATAGGTAGATAATTTTATATTACATGTAGTCATGTGGAGGCAGCTAGATGGCTCAGGGGATTTGGTGCTGGGCCTGGATTCAGGAAGACTTCAGGTCAAGACCAGCCTCAGACACTTACTATCTGTGTGACCTTGGGTAAGTCACTTAACCTCTGTTTGCCTAGGAGGTAGCTAGGTGGTTCAGTAGATAGGGCGCTGGGCCTGGAGTCAGGAAGACCTGAGTTCAAATGTGTACTTAGACACTCACTAGCTGTGCAGCCCTGGGCAAGTCACTTAACCTCTGTTTGCCTTAATCCACTGGAAAAGGAAATGTCGAACTACTCCAATGTCTTTGCCAAAGAAAACCCCATGAACAGTATGGTTCGTGGGGTCACAAAGAGTTGTACATGACTAAATGACTCAACAACAACAAAGTCATTGGAAAAGAGGCTGGAAAGATGCAGCTCTCCAAATTAGTTTGCATGTGAAGTTTTATAAACCACATATTTAATTAATAAATAGGGCATGAGTTTCCCTGAACTCTGAAGAGTGATAAAGTTAGATTTTATCTTATAGGAGCTCTAGAAGTTCTTATCCTGTTTAACTTCTGGATCCCCAAAAAGAGGATTATCCACATTTGAAGGCTCCTTGTGTTTGGTTTAGAGTGTCTACCTGGGCCAAACTTTGAAGTGTAGTTCTCAATTCCAGCAAGATCAAGGTAATGGTTCCTTCTCTCAGTATTTTCATCAACACAGTACTGCTCACGCACGGTGTAATGGTGGTGGTCATTGTTTGGCCTCCTGTGCGGATAGGAAATGAACAGAACATGAATATATTAGTTACAAGACAAAAACCTTATTGAAGTAAAAACCTATACACACACATCCATAATCCCTACTTAAGTGTCGGTAAGAGGCTGTGCGATAAAGTGGAAGGAATGTTATTGTTGAACTCAAGAAGTCTACTTTGGAATCCCAGCTCCAATATTTATTATCTGCGTGACCATCTTCAATTCACTTAACCTTTTGGAGTTCTGTCAGATGAGGATAATAACATTTGCACTACTAACCATGCAGCTACTGGGTGAGAAGTAGAGAAGCAGGGTTTTCAAAAACTTAGAGTGCTGTATAAATGTAATTTACTACGATGATTATTTCGTGTATACTTAAAGGATAACAGAGGGCTAGTTGAGGTGTTAAGGCATTATGGTAATAATAGCTTGCGTTGAGATGGGTTAATTTTGAGAGGTAAATTGATTGGCCTAAGATTCCTTAATTAGTAAGTGGTAGAACTGGAAAAAAAGAACTGCAGTCAAGTCCGGTGCTCTATAGGCAATGCACAAGCATTCGCTACTATATGCAAGGCACTATGCTGGGTGCTATGTTAAAAAAAAAAAAAGTGAAAACAGACCCTGTCCTCAAGGAGCTTATATTCGAATGGGGGAAACAGTAGATATGTGTAGAGGTGTACACAAGGTACATACAAAGTAAACACAAGAAAACCTTACAGGGGAAGATAGGAGTATCTGGGGGAATGAGGAAAGGTGAAGGGGATATGAGTTGAATCTTGAAGGAAGTTGGGGAATCCAGGAGGTAGAAATGAGGAAGAAGAGCATTCCAGACATGGGAGACATCCAGGACAAAGGCACAGACATGGTAGAGAGAATGTTAAGTCTGAGGGACAAGAAACAGGCCAGTATGGCTGGATCACAGAGTGTGTGAAAGGGAATAATGTGTAAGAAAATTGGGATGACATGAAGGGGCCACGTCGTGAAGAACTTTAAATGCCAAATAGAGCGATTCATATTTAACCCTAGAGTAATAAGGAACCTCATGAGTTTATTGAGAAGAGAGGTGACATTGTGAGACATTCACTTCAGGAAAATAAATTTGGCAACTGAGAAAAGGGTGGAATGGGGTAGGGGGAGCCGAGGCAGATTCCTGTAATAATCCAGGGAAGAGGTGATGAGGGTTTGAACTAGAATGGTCATGGAGGGAAGGGGAGAAATGAAAGAGATGTTACAGAGCTAGAAATGACAGGATTTGGCAACTGATTGGATATGTGGGGTGAATGAATATACAGAGTCAAGGATGATAACTGAGATTGTGACCCTGGGTGACTAGAAGGATAGTGGTATTCTCAGTAGTAATAGGGAAATGTGGAAGAGGCATGAATTGGGGTGGGGATGGGGGAAGATAATGAGCTCTATTTTTTAAAATGTGTTTTCAAGTTGTCAATGGATGAGTGATCAACTACAAGCTCTGCTAGTAATTGATTTATTTTAAAAATTATTTTATTAATTATTTTTAATTCTTTTTTCTTTTTTCTTTTTTGCTAGGTAATCAGGGTTAAGTTACTTGCCCAGGGTCACACAGCTAGTAAGTGTCATGTATTGTGTGTCTGAGATCACATTTGAACTCAGGTCCTCCTGACTCCACTATGCCACCTAGCTGCCCCTGAGCTCTATTTTAGATATGCTGATTTTGAGATGTCTACGGGATATCCTGTTTGAAATGTCTAATAGGCAGTTGGAAAAGTGAGATTGAAGCTCAAGAGAGAGATAAGACCTGGGATAAATAAATAAGTAGCTGGATAAATAGAGGCTCAACTTCATCAAGTTGATAACTGAATTTATGGGAACTGATGAGATCATGAACTGAAAGAAAATACAGAAAAAAGAGAAGAGGGCCATTAGAGGATCAGTAGTCAGTGTGATGTGGATACAGATCCAGCAAAAGGGACTTAGAAGGCATGTCAGAGAGGTAGGAGAAGATCCAAGAGAGACCAGTATCATGAAAACCCAGACAGGAAAGAGTACCCAGTGGAGAAGGAAATCAACAGTGTCAAATTCTGCAGAGAGGTCAAGAAAGATGAAGAAAGGGCCATTAGATTGGACAATTAAATTAAGATCACGGGTAACTTTGGAGAGAGCAGTTGAAGTCGAATGATGAGGTTGGAAGCCACTCAGCGTAGACAGCTTTCTCATGTCAAGTTGAAAAGAAGAAGAGAGATACAGGACAATAGTTAGCAGAGATAGCAGCATGGAGTGAACATTTTTTAAGGATGAGGGAGACTTAAGTGTATTTAAAGGTAGTAGAAAAGGAACCAGTACACAGGGAGAAAATGAAGATTAGAGAGAGAACGTATCTTAGTAGGGTCAGTCTGCTAAAGAAGACATGCAATACTGCCTATAATGGGGATCAACAATTTACAGGAAACAAATCACATGATAAAATGTGAACACCTTTATACTTTTGGGGATTTCACAGTAATTGCTACCTCACATTTAGACACTTTAAATGAATAACACTTATAAGAGGAAAAGCAAGAAGGAAGTAAATTATTTAAGGGAAGTATTTTATATTTCTAAATATGTTTTAATCAAAGGGCACATTGCTCATTCAGGGTCATTCCAAAATGCAAGACTCTCATTCTTTGAAAGAGACTGGTAGTAGTGCATATGCCATCATCCCCTCCTTAAGTTAAGCCTACTGAACACAATAATGAATCAACTACAAAGCTTGTTTTGACTGTTTTTGAAAGGCAGAGAAAAACCAATAGGGCAGGAGGGATTTGTTTATTCGACTGAGCTTAAGTCAGAAACCATGTGTCCATAAGAAGAATGGAGCCCCTAGTTCTTGCAAAGGAAATACAGTGAACACAGGGGTACATCCTGAATTCTCAACATCTATTTCTGGTGGGCATCATCTTTTTAGTGTTGAACTCTTTAGCCTCTCATTGGGTGTGACTTGACCAAAAATTAAAGCTTAGCCCTGTTTGCCACTATCTCTATCAACTTTCCTCATATAAGATGAAACCAAGGCAACTTCTGGTCAAAGGACTACAGACTCTTCAGTGTCTTACCTGACGTGAGCAGATAGTCTCTTGTCTGCAATCCTTATTTCTTCAGGGTGCTCTCCTTCGGTTTTACATCGAATAGCTTCTCGATCTAAATGACACATAATTAGAACTGCTTTACAGTGAAAAGGGACATGTGGCAGTCCACCAACACACCCATATATTGAACACACTTACCTGGATGTCCCTCCTTCCTCTTGCTGGAAGGTTCTGGGCTCACAGTCAGTTTCACCCGGAGTGTCTTGCTATTGGTGGAGGAATGATTGACTGAAGCATCTACAACTTCATAAATGGTGTGCATCAAGCTGGACATATCCTTGTGTAAGGATCAAAACAAGAGAATAGCAGTATCCAGAATCAATGAACATCTTATTTCCAAAAATAAGCAGCTAGGTGGTGTAGTGAATAGAGCACTGGGCTTGTAATCAGAAGACTCATCTCTGTGAGTTCAAATCTTGCCTCTGACACTGACAGCTGAGCAATGACCCTGGGCAAGTCACTTAACTTTGTTTGCCTCAGTTTACTCATCTATAAAATAAGTTGGAAAGAAAATGGCAAACTACTCCAGTATCTTTGCCAAGAAAACCCCAAATGGGATAACAAAGAGTTGTACGTGACTGAAATGACTCAATAACATATATCTCCAAACATGTTAATGTTAATCAAACAATAAAGTCATGCACATACTCCACACTTTATTTTTCATTTTCAATTCATTGAAACAGCTCTGACTGAACTCTAGCATCATCTATCTAGTAGTCAGAGACAGAATTTCATCTTTATTATAGCCTTGAGTTTAGTTCCAACAATTCCAGAGAAAAAGGAAGTATTCTCATTGCTGTTGGAACAACATATCCCCAAAGGCCTGAAATTTCAAACAGATTTTGGTCTCAACACAGGTTTGTTTTTCTCTAATTCCTAGCCCAAACTCAAATTCTAGATGCCAAGTTCATTTAGGAGGCTGGGATGGTCACTTTAAAGTGCTTTAGCCATCTGAAGCTGGAGAAAACACATGCCACTGAACTGACTGTGGGTACTTGCAGGGCCCTGCTAATGGAATCATTGCTGTCTGAGTAGGAAATTGAGCAGTGCCTCATCAAGGAGACCCTGGTATGGGCAGATGTACAGGAGAGAAAGAGAAGAAAGTTGGCTAAGGCAGCTGTTGTGTTAGGGTGTGTTTGGGATGTCTTTTGACTGTACTAAGGGCAGGTAGGTGACTCAGTGGATACTTCAGTGAGCCCAGGTTCAGGGAGACCTGATTTCAAATCTGACCTAGGAACTCAGTAGCTATGTGACCATGGGTAACTCACTTAACCTCTGTTTGCCTCAGTTTCCTTTTCTGTAAAAGGGAGATGATAATAATAACATCTGCCTCTCAGGGTTGTTATGAGGATCGAATGATAATTGTAAATCGCTTAGCATGGTGCCTGGCACAAAGTAAATGCTATATTAAATGTTAGTTATTATTATTATTTTTGTTGTTGTTGCACATCCAAATCTTGGTTGATTCTGACCAGTCCCTGTATACAAGGTTATAGTCTATTCTTCCAAGTGGTCAGCCTATTTTCCAGGTAAAAACAAATATTACCTCTTTGGTTACTTTTCCACTGTTGTCAAAATCATATAGGGTAAATGTCCATTCTTGACGATTGTCGTCTTCCACTGAGACATCACACTGAAGTTCCTGAAAACAAGGATTTCTTTTTACCAAAAACGGTAATATGACATCTTTGCCATATGTAGCAAAAAACGGGGGTATGTTTCTGTTCCGTAATGGGAGGGAGGAGGAAGCTAACAATTTCTCCCATTTGTTTTATGATATGCATATGCTCATATGCTTTCTGTTGGTCTAGCTTTTTGACTTTGTTTAGTTATAAACAAATACCTAACTTTAAGCAGATATTATATATAAAAATCCAAATTTACAAAACAGATTAAAAGATTATTTTCTTCCTTTGGAGTATTTTAATAAAGTTATTCCATTTATGAAAATTCATTTGGCATTAGGTGGCACAGTGGATGTATTGCCAGTCCTGGAGTCAAGAAGACTCATCTTCATGAGTTCAAATTTGGCTTCAGATGCTTACTAGCTGTGTGACCCAGGGCAAGTCACTTAACCCTGTTTGCCTCAGTTTCCTCATCTGTAAAATGAGCTGGAGAAGGAAATGGCAAAACCACTCCAGTATCTTTGCCGAGAAAACCCCAGATGGGGTCATGAAGAGCTGGTTGTGACTGAAATGACTGAACAACAACAACAACATTGGACTGGGTCAAGAGTTTGGGTCAAGACAATTTGGGTCATGTCCTAGGCCTTCCACTTACTGAGAGAGCCTCAGTTTTCTCATCTGTAAAAAGAGGGTGTTAGATTAAATGGTCACTAAGATTTCTTCTGGGCCTTGATATTCTATATTTTTTTCAGAAGATGTCTCTTCCATGCAGTGAAGCATACCTGTGTGGGTTTTATGTTAGGGCAAGGCCTTTAATCATTTGTAGGAAATAACTCTCAAGGTCTGAAGGAAGGTCTCTAGTGCTTACAATTTAATCTTTATATTACGTTAAGTAAGAACTTTAAATACTCCAACAGAGAAACCTTCCTTGTTTGTGGCCAAAGCTGTTTGAAAAGACCTTAGAAGCACAGCACTTCAGAGAAAATAGTGTGCTAAATCCTTCTCCCTCCTCATTCTGGGTGGAGGCTAATATTTCAAATTATCATGTCTAGAATGCAGAAAACGCCCTTTCCGACCCTCTCTTGGAGTTTCTACTTCGGCTATGTAGATTCATGTGTCCTAACGATATCACTGAGATCATCATTCCCAATTTGCAGATGGGAAAACTGAGGCCTCAAGAAGATTAAGGAAGTCACAGTATGGAGACGAATGGAGGAAGGGGGACTGTGTCTGTATCTCCTGCCCCTGGGTGACACACTAATGTTCTCCCCAGCATTCTATTGTGTACACTGTTGATAATGCCAAGAAAATGGATTATCTGTCACATACTATAAAGTTAATTCTTGAGCATTTAAATTTAGAAATGGTAGTGGAAGGAAGAAGGAAAAGCAACATCCTTTCATTCCCCTCTACCCCAACTGTAGCTTACCTTGCATAATAATAACTTTTTATTCCAATAATACCAAATATCTTATAATAGGCACCTTGTGCACAAGCCAAGGAATTCTAAATTGTTTGTTAAAGTTTACTTTATATCACTTCTGTAGTGCAAAATGTGCAAAGCCAAGCAAAATACTGAATTTTAAAAAATATTTTAATGCAGTGCAAAACAATTTCAGCCTTATTAGCAAAATTCCATGGCAGCATCCTTTACCCCCTACAAACCTGCCCAGTTTAAAGTCAATTCCTCCACATTTTAACACACTGTAATTTGCTAGAGTATAAAAGAGAATTTCGTTCCTGAAAAGTCAAATTGGATACCAAATTTGAGAACTAATATGTATTTTAAACACACCCAGGACCTGATGAACTAATGTATAGAGAAAGAGACATAGTACAAGTAAAACAGATAAGGGCACAACATACATCAATATTTAATCGCTTCTTCCCCATTCCACGGTTTATGTCTTTATTCGCAATTTTTTCTCCATCTTCTAGATTAAAAGGCTGTATGTAACCTTCACATCCTTCTACTTTCTCAGGAGGAAGGGCAACTGTGAGATCAAAAGAAAAACTGGTAAGAAGAATATAGAACCTCTCCAGTTTAGTTATTAATTCAACTACGTTGAGTATTTATAAATGACACCAGGGGCCAAGAAAGGACCATCCTCACAAAGATTCCAAGGTTGGACCAGCATATTCAGAGTTAGGAGTCAGAAATATGGATCTGTATTCTTGCCTTCCTAGTCTCTCTCACTCTAGTCCTTCAAAGTCAGACTCTAAGCTAGGGAAGAGTAAGGAAAAGAAAGGTTTTCTTTCAGCCTCCTCTACCAAATAGCTTTGACTGGTTTTTTTAACAAGGTAATAAAGATCTTGTTGGGAAATAAATGGTTCACTGCTAAGTAGATGGTATCAGAAAGAATGGTGCAAACCCATCAGAAGAACCTTTTCATCCGCACCTAGGGATATGATCTTGTCTCTCACGATTTCTCCTCCAGGGTGGTAGAGAATAGAGTTAGGAGCATGAAGAGAGAATAGAAAAGGGAAACAAAATGGCAGGTGGACAAGGCAGTATTTACCAACTCACAAGAACCCCATGAATTATCACAGAGCTTTTGTAACTTTTTTCCCACTCCTCACTCCTTCTATTTAGGGGTTAGTTATTCATGCCTTCCAATTTAGGGTTCATATTGAGAGATTCTAGAGTAGAATACCAGGAGTACTCTAGAACGTAGAGTAAGAAGATTTGGGTTCAAATCCTGGCTCTACAGCTTATCAGCTATGTGACCAGGCCAGTCATTTAACTTTCAACACTAGTTTCTTGTTCTGTAAATGGGTTAGCAATTCTTTAAAAAAAAAGTTTTGTTGCCTTTTGTTTTTGTGCCACAATCGTTTGCCTTTCACCCTTCTCATCCTAAAAACATCCTAACAAGCAAAAATCCCCAGCAAACACTTAAGCACGGCTGACATAGTAAACACATAGATCCCATTCAACATCTGTAGTCCCCACCTTCACCCTAGGAGGAGGAAAGTATTTCTTCTATCTACTTCCCAGGGTTTTTATGAGGGTCAAATTTTTTTAAGAATTATGTAAAAGTACCTCGTAACTATCAATTACTATACAAATGTAGACCGCTGTTATTGTTATCACACATCATTCAAATTTATAAAAATCAAGAAAATTATTGTTGTACAATTCAGGCAAAATTTTGATTCTCTGAAAGTTCAGGTTTATGTGTATAAACCTGTAAGATGTGGGGAAATAGTAAACGCTTAAAAGCATGTTGTAAGCTGCTTTTGAAGAATGAATTACTTAAAATGAAAATAACAAGTATGTGTGTAGAAAAAGGTTGGCGCTAAATGCTAGTTTAACATTTTTAAATTGCAAACATTCCATATTTTTAACCAAGGCATCAGTCCCAACTCTGCTTAGATTTAAATGTAGGAATGCTGGTTATTTGAAAAGTGGATGAGAGTCTGCATCTCAATCCAGATTTCCAAAAGGCTATTAATGCTTCCTCTAACTTTGGAATACACATGTGGATGTTTTTAAAGTACTGGACGGAAAAGTGGACTTTTGAGTTTTCTCCCTAGCCGTAGGAACAAGATTATATACTTACCCTCCAGGGGGCATTGGTCCTCCCGAAAATGTCCCTCTTTCAGTTCCCCATTCAGTAGCTCCTGCAGGGAGAACAAGGACCAGCTGTAAGTGAATATGCAGGATTTCAGCTGCAGCCCCAGTGAAAACAAACAGTTACAGGCAGAAGCATTTCCTACATCTAGAGTTCTGAGATGTGAGATCTGGGAACAAGTCCCATCATATGAACCGAACATCTGCAAGGGCTATTGTGTTACACTGTCTGGGTCCAAAAAATTTAACAACTGCCAAATCCTTTATGCCTCATTCAAGTTTCAGATTTTCAGAAATCAAAATACCACACATACTCTATTATATCGTCAGATTTCATTGTGACAGTCTTTATGACAAAAATAGGTTTGCTCAGTACATGATGGCTGATATGTCAAAGGAGGCAATTAGACAAAATGCCGGTGAAGATGGCACAAATGGCCTTCACTCATCTTTGAACCAAAATAAAGACCTTTGCACTCCGTCAGCCCCAGATTCTCCATGCTGGTCACATGTTTCTCTCTCATCTGACAACGTTGATACAACACGTCTGAAGATCCACTGCTAAGGGGGAGAAAGGGAGAGACGGAGAGAGACAGACAGAAAAAGAGAGAGAGACAGAGAGAGAGACACAGAGAGAGACAGAGAGACAGACACACACACACACACACACACACACACACACACACACAGAGTAAGTTTTGGCAGAAAGTTCAGCCCCCTTCCATCCCTGACTCTGTTGATGACACTTTCTTCTGGAGTGGAATGTAAGGAACTTAATCATCCTGCTCAGTGATGCAGTTGCCATGTGCAAATCCAGAGCCAGTGAATTTCTTAGGGCAAAAGTTGCCTTTGAGTATAAGGAGATGAAAGGTGAGCCCTATTGTGGATTTCTATGGGGTTTCTAAGGGCCGGAGTGAGGAAGCTCCTGCCTTAGAGAGATCTCTAAATCACTTCTGGCAACAGATTTCTGGATCAGATATGGATGCAGGGGAAGACTTCAAACACAGGTGAGTAAAGTTAACCAAAAAACAATATATAAATCTTATAATGACAAACAATAAATTCCCAAATGGTGAAAAGTAATATAGGAAAATATAATTTTGAAAGCACTCTTAGAAATCTTTACACAATAATTAAAAAACAATGCAAGAATACTTGCCAAAGTAGCACAGAATTTTTTTTTTTACACCATCTTTCTGTTTTCATGCAAACCCTAGCTACTGTCACCATGTTCTCAGTAATAGCAAACTACTGCTCAGAGGCCTGGCCCATGCCGTGTAGTGTGGTTCCTTGCTAAGGACAAATCCAGTAAGGGCATCCTTGAAAGTTGCTATGTAGGTGAGGAAACTGATCTTTTTGTTCCAAGCCTTAGCTGAAAATATCTCCACTGGATGAACACTGGCCTCTGAAAATGTGCCATCTCTCTCAGGTTGTTTCGAAGTGAATAATTACTGTGCTTGCTTAACTTCTTCAGACATTGGTATCATAATTCCTACAGTTTTATTATTTCTTCCTGACAAAGAGCTTTATCCTGTGTAACTCGAGAAACCTCATAATCTCCCTTTCCGATCTTCTGTGTGGCTTAAGTCCCAAAGCATCAGTGGCGCTCCGTAGAATCTGTCTTGGGCAGGAGGCCAGAAGGATTTACCCCAGCGAGGACTTCTCAATTCTCCAGCTGCCTCCCTGTCGGGGTATTGCATCATGAAAATGGTTTTATCCCCAGCCAGATGCCCATAAACTGCACACTGCCCACAGATGGAGGTAAATAGCCAGGGATCTCTAGGTCCCTCCTGCGAGCAGCTGTCATTAATCAGGGTCCCCAGCAGGAGAGCGGCCAGGAATGTTCCCCAGCACCAGACAGGGCCCTTTCCAGTTGCCCTCTGCTGAGTCCACATGGATGATTATGAAGGGCCAATAAAGCAGAGCTAGGAGGACCCCCCCCCACCCCCAAAGCCAGGCTTCAAAATCAAGGCCTTAATAAAATCACCCCCCACAGTAAATTTTGAGTATGCCTTGTTATTTAGTTAACTAGAAGTTACCATATTGATCTATCTCTTAGAAAAAAAAATGAGAGGGGTGGAGGTAGGGGGCGGCAGAACCAGCAACCTTTTCAATGGAAAGGTTAAATTCCAGGAACGGAGCTGCTGCATTAAGGAAGAACCGGCTTTGTGGGTTCCAGGCCAGAGATTGCCTAGTGTATTACCTCACCATATGGTTGGGGTGGCTCTGGGCCCTCACCTTCCAAGGGCTAGCATTCTGTTTTGGAATGACAAGTATTTGTGTTTGCCGAAACTCAATGAGGGAGGCCCATCTCCCCAGAAAGGCAGCCAGGGCTTCTAATAAAAGGAAGTGCCAATCTGCAAGGCTTTGGCAGCCCAATTCGGCCCGGATGGAGGGGTGAGCCCATCCAGCCTTTATGAAGGAAAGCTTGACTCTCTCCTCTCCCGTGTTATGTCTCATTAAAGACACACAAAGCCCCAAAGGACACTGAAACGTTAATGAAATCCATCACCTTTGCAAATGACTGGTTGAGCCTTTGTTTATAGTGAAAGCCAGTTAGGGCTTTATTCTACAGTTACACATAGGGGCTGCCCACAAGGACAGAGAGAGGTCTCTGATCGGCCTGATAGGCACTTGGAAAACAAACAAAAGAATCAGCTGGCTGTTTGTTCCTGTTTTTGCAACATCACTGCCAAGCATCCTTCAGCCGGGCCTTTTACCAGCCTTTTAAGTGATATCGGATTACTCTGAGGTTTTCATTGCTAAGGACCCGGTGACATCAGCCAAATCTTCAGCTCTCTCAACCCACCCCCGCTGCTTGGGGGAACACTACAGATCTTTGTTTCAACCTTTTCCTCTCAAAGAAAACCAGGCAAACTTATCAGACTATCAGAAATTCCACCTTTGGGGACTTGCACATGTCTGTCAGTCAGCAGGACTTAAAAGGAAAGGCAGCAGACTCCATAGAAAGGTTGAAAATGCAAAGCTGCTTAAAAAAATAATTAGGTGGCTTTGTGATAAATGAAGAAAATAATTACAGGAGTAACATTTTCCTCTAGATGATGCAACAGCTAAAATTAAACTAAGAAGAAAACCCTCCCCCCACCCTGTCCCCTTCTCCCCCAAAGTGTGCAAACTGTGCTTTTGCAAAAGTTTGGAGGTAGAAGATTTTCAACCATTATATAAAATTCTAAGAGGCCTCATTTCGCTCTCTCTCTCTTTTTTTGGACATTGATTTAGCACTCAAATGTCTACACAGCATATTACAGGCATCATCTCATGTAAGTCCAGAGGTGTGCAGGAGCCAGCATAAACCAGCGAGTGAGAGCCAATTGTTAAATTTTCAACATGAGCATTTACACCTCAGAAGTTGGCAAACGCTACAAATTAGGCCTTGATTTATTGTTCTGTTGATTGTCCAGACTTAGGAAAAGTGATGGAGAAAATGTTCATCCTGCAGATTAAACTTAAAAGTATATTATTCTGGGGCAACTAGGGGGCATGGTGGATAGAGCAATAGCCCTGGGGTCAGGAGGACCTGAGTTCATATCTGGCCTCAGATACTTACTAGGTGTGTGACTCTGGGCAAGTCACTTAACCCTAATTGCCTAAAAAAAAGTATATCATTCCTACTGCTGCCCCACCCCCACCCCAAAGCTGGTTGTTAAACAATTTATCAGCACATCCCTATTTGAGGTCCATACGCCAGTGGGTATTATTGTTCCCAACAAATGGGAAAACTAATTTTTTTAGTCTTACATATGATGATTCAGAGAGAGTGACTTTTCTTTTTTTTTTTGGTGAGGCAATCGGGGTTAAGTGACTTGTCCAGGGTCACGTAGCTAGTAAGTGTCATGTGTCTGAGGCTGGATTTGAACTCAGGTCCTCCTGACTCCAATGCCAGAGCTCTATCCACTGCACCATCCAGCTGCCCTGGGAGAGTGACTTTTCCAACGTGACATGGCTGCTAATATCAAAAATGCAAGGAACCCAGGTCTTCCTGATTCCAAGACCAACACACTAGCTACTTCACCGCTGTGGAAGTAATATTGCTCCTAGTGAAAATGAGGAACAATACAAGGAGTCTTCCTTAAATGTATGAGAAGCAAACTTAATGTATAGCAGATTTTGATCATCAGTCAAGGGAAAATGAAAAAGGTTAGATGTTTCCTGTGACATCCTACTATTGTGAATGATATACATTCCTCACTGGGAGGTCCATTAGATTTTTGGGATATCACTATTGTACCCTGTCAATGTAAGGTCAGAAAGAGGTCATTTATTAGCTCAATTTCAGCAGTCAGGAAGAGTTCATCCAATGCCTTCAAACAAAAAAAATCCAACCCCTTCTCACCAGTGTGAGGAATCTATCTTTATGTAAAGCCCTCCTATAAGCATTTTGTGGCATGAAATTAAGCACACTAACTTTGATAAGGGCAAAAAAGCAATTGTGATGAAAAATGGGATGAGATCTCCTGATAAGCTTTCTGAAATAATCTCCAATCTCCTCCTCCCCAACCCACACCATTGTTACTATTCTAGGTCCCTTTTATGATGGTGGATGATACCATCATGTATGGGCTGACATAAATTTGGAACTGGTTCATTTCCACAGGCAATAAAAGTCCATGGGCTTCAAATGTCAACCATTTTTCTTATTTTTAAGTATTATTTCCTTTCTTCCATTAACACTGCCTTGTCAACCCAGCAAAGTAGCCAACTGAACTTCAAAAGGCTCTGATTTACCACACCAGCTCAAAAGACTTAAAATATTTTGGCTTGAGTTACATATCTAATGAATTTAACTTGGGGTCATATCTAAACAAGTTTTTTACTTAACAAACAACCTCAACTGCCCAGAACATAGGAACCAGAAAGATGTTAAGGGTTTCCTTGGGTTATCTGACTGCATTTCATCAAGTGTTCAGATACTAATGGATTTTTAAAAAATAACTTTTCAAAGAAGTCAGCTTTTTTTTTCAAACAGCCTGAATATGCTTGTATGATTTTTTATGTTTTTATGTTTTTTAGGTGTGTTTATATATTAAAA